TAACTCTGTTCTCCTTTACTTTCCCTGCATGTCTGCTAAGGCACAGAGGCATTTCACCAGGATTTACTTTTAGGCAACTCTCCCCAACCTCTTCCCTCTGCCTCTCACTTTTCACTCAGCTTCCCCATTTCCACCAACCGTTGTGGAACCAATTGTTCCAAAACAACCAATTGTTGTTTTTACATAATGCTGCTGTAACTTTCGACGGGATGAAGATCTGGCTCCGCTTCTCCTTTTTGGAGCAAGCAAACTGCCCAAAAGCCTGGAGTGTCTGCAAGCTGCAGAAAATCCTGCGCCCAGTCCGGTGTAGATGTTTGCAGTCCAGTTACAAAAGCCCCATGTTTGCATTATGTTAATCCCCTGGCTTTGGCTACTCTGGCCAGGCAGGACCTAGCGCAGCATGGAGAATGACATCATTTGGAAAAAGGGCTGCTTCATGAGGCTGCCAGAGGCTCTGCAGCATCCCTCCCCTTTTATAGGGGACGGCTGCTCCATCTCAGCAGGAGCAGGCTGCTTTATCAATTGGAATAATTTTAGTGACTGTAGACTTTGTAACATGATGGAGTGCAGGAGAAGGAGATGTGTGTAACCCTCCTCTCTGCAAGGCTGCAGTAGCGATACAATACCATAAATCCTGTGATTTGTTCATTAAGTTCTGTCGCCTAGAGATTTGCCTCATCTTAATGCATACATTGTTTTTTACTTGCCCTAATCTGTTTTTTACAAATGGTGGCAAGAATACCAGGAAAGCGTAACTTATAAGTTGCTGCATGCAAGCTCACCCAGGTGCTACTTCTGATCGACGCAAGGAGCTGCAGAGACATAAAATGCAGGATGACTGGGCTGCTTAGTGAATGCTTTCAGCTCACTAATGCTGAAATGCCATAAAGCATCCTGCATTCCGAAACCAGCACATGACTCTCAGCATCGCCATTCTGCCCGATTCTCCCCTTACGGATGCAGTTACAAAAACGGCAGCTAAGCACAGACGTATCCCTGGCATGCCATCAGGCAGCCTTGCTGGAGGAAATTTTTTTTCCCCCTGCAAGCTGCCAAGGTGGACTCCTTAGCTCCTGCAATAGACTGAATGAGACTGCAGTTTCCCCCATCAGTTTCATAATACTCAGAAAGCATCCATTTACATCACTGTGTGCAGTGCAGGGCAGCAGCTGCCAGGAAATTTGAAACTATTTTGATTCCAGTTGACTAGAACAGCAGCAATTGAATTAGCTGGTACCGCTATAGATAAACTGATGATCTTTGCATTTTATTTCTTTGACCAATGGGTAACTGCTGGAGCTACAGTAACCTCTGTGAGTAAGGAGACTGTTCAAGCAAATATATCTAATTTCTCGAGCTATATAATATATATATATATACTGTATCGAGAGAGACACTCACACCATTCTTTTTTAAAATGTACCTGTAAACAAAATGTCTGTCTATGCTTTTAACTTGTGTTTTGCTTCCTAGAATTTCCTTTTATTATGCTGTAGACAAGTTTGCTTGACATGGAATGGTTATTTACGTATGAAATATCATATCTATGCCTGATTTAAGTCATTAATTCTTTCAACGTCTAGTCATCAGAAAGGCTGCCAAATGCTGTTAGGTTATATTTGCCCGGTCTCAGTTTTCTAGTCACTTACCCCCTTTCTATTTTAGCTTTTTCCTTATCCATTTCTTTCTTTTTATTCTTTTTTTTTTCTTTTTTTTTTTTTTTTCCATTTGTTGAAAGAAGCCACCTTCAATGCAAAGTAGAAATTTGTGTTACCTGAAAGTGTGTGTCCTTTGTTTGTTTGGTGATGGGTATTTTTTTTTCCCTGCGCATCTTCAGTGCAGTCCTTAAATTTTGTTGTTGTCTTTCTATCCTTGTTTGTAATGCAGTCATATTGGGGGATGGGGTTAGACAGGATATGCCAGTAGCTGCAGCAAGACATGATGCTGTGGTGGTGGATGGGAATAAGGGAGGAGTTTCCCTTAAAGAGCTCAGCTCCTCTAAGCTCTTGTACCTGAAATAGCTCTCTGAGGAAAGGCTTTCCAATTTTGGGAGACTGGCAGATTGGTTGTGATTTACTTCATGAAATAGAGACCTTGGCAGTCATGTGCATGGTAGTACCTAACATAATGGCAACAGAACACTGCTTTGATGTCATATAGGAAGTTTTTTCAGTCAAACAGAGAATTAGCAATATTCCTGCGTGAAGGCAAGAATCCCACTGACTTGTGCTTGTATACAGCAGTGGCAGCAGCAGCAGCAGTCCTACGGCTGCTGACATCTCACTTCAGAAGATTTACATTTCAGATTTACATTTCTATTGTGATAGCGCTACTCTCTTGCCGAGATGGAACACAGCTTGCAGGTGTGGCAGAGGGGAGTACATGTAAGCACCCTCTCTCCCTTTGGACACCTCTCTGTGCCTGCATGTGTGGGTATGTGCTCTGTATGTGTACCTCTTCTAGAGTCTGATGGGCTTGTTATGAAGTTCAGGAGGAGAAATAAATCAGAAACTTGCTCAAGATTTCTTTCCACTGTCAGCAGTGGCTGTTGGTGGCAGATGGGGACGCGCAGCAGAGCATTTAGCATTCACCACAAGAAATAAGGCCCCCTCTGTTTTCCTCGTGTTGGTTCAGAAGCTAAGATAGCAATTAGCAGAGACGAGCCTGGCCCCTTGGCAGGATCTGTGTGTGGTGCCTTGTTGGGGCTTGGCCTCTGGAGCACGTTGGCTGCCTCCCAGCCCCACAGGAGGCCAGGGCTGACGCTCAGGCTTCCTTCCAACAAGGCGGGATGTGTGGGTTGGAGTGAGGCATGGGGGGTCTCAGCTCTTGGGGCACTATGTATTCCCTTTCTTCATGCAGTGCAGCCAGAGTGCGGCCCGGGCAGTGGCCTGGCCAAGTGCTGTCACACAGTGCTGAGGGCATACACTAAGCATTGCTTGTGGGTGGATGTGTCCACCAAGAAGGGTTTATGTTAGCATCTGTAGTGACATGCTCCCTTATTAGTCCTCTCCTAAGAAATCCCTCCTTAGACCATGCTGAGAAAGCAGCAAGCACTAAAGCTTCTGCATCAGAGAAGGATTGCAGGATGAGAAGGCAGCTTGGGGATCCTTGCGTGGGGTTTTTCTAGTGCAGGTGTAGGGACATTTTTACCACAGAGCATCACTGTCATACGTGAGTCTGTCCTGGTGAAAGTGTCCCACAGTGGCAGCCTAGTGCCTGTGCTGTGAAAAGTGTGGGCTTGAGATGCATGCAAGCACTGCGTGGCTGAGTTGTGTGCAAAGGGGTCTGTTTGTCTGCTGCTTCAGACACTTAGGAAAAGCACTGTGGGTGCCCCCACACCTGTGTTTTGGAAAGCTTACCATGAAGATGGGCTGGTGATGCAATTGTGGACAGGGCATCCTTGCTCCTTACGGCTCCCTGGGACCTTGCAGCAGAGAAAAGGTCCCTGCTTTGTCTAGTCACTGTCCTGAACAGCAATCAAGTCGTCTGGATGAAGCTGAATTTTTATTATATAGTGATTAAGTCAGTGGCATGGAGACGTTTGGAGAACCCATTGAGGAAGATTCTGAGGCTTGGCAAGGTCCAAGACTGTCACTTTAATCTTGCACCACACACAGTGTGTGGTATTTTCCCTGTGGCTAGATATACTGGGATATACTTTTGCTTACCTTAACAAGCCACTGGCACATAGGTAGGCATATTAATGCACTTCTGAACTTCTGTTAGATTATCCTCTCTTTCACTTTGAACTCAGCCTATCATTAACCACAGCTACATGGCTTCTGCCTCAGAAACAGACCTTGGCCGGCCTGCTTGGAGCAGAGATGGGGATCAGTTTGGAGTGCAGTACCTAGAGATGCACCTTGGGACCAAACCATTCAAATTCAAGTTAGTGTCTGGTTTCAGAGCTGTCACCCCGATACTTTTTAAAGTAGGTGTTTGGGTCTGGCCACCCTGCAGTTTGATTTAAAACACTATTATACTCCAGGCCAGGTTTTTTTTTTGTTGCTAGGTTTTTGTTTTTTTTTTTTTTTTTTTTTTTTTCCCTAAAGGAGTGTGACAAATGCAGTTGTTGATGGTTGGCTTTTTAATTGTTGTTTTGGGGTTTTTTCCCCCCAAGAGCTCAGTTCCTCCTTGGGCTGTGATATAAGGTGGGCAATTATCTGTCATTATGTGATCCCTGAGGTCCCTTCGGACAGATGGTTCTCTGTTACCTCGAAACAATGGGAGCCGCCACTGGGTGCTTGGCGCTTGGAAAATGGGACCACCCATTTTTGCTCCTGCTTTGTTTACGTCGTTGGAAAAGCACAAGGAAGGAGGGGTGGCAATGTTTTTCTGCAGCAGTGTATTTGCTGCAGTAGAAAATGTGCATTGCTTGGTATGTATCCATCACTGCAACATGACCTTCAGCTACCTGAGTTGTTAAAGGAAGAGGGTAGTGCTGGCAGAAAGTTTAATTGCTCATTAATTACTTTGTAATTTAGCTAATTAGTTTTGTCAAGGCTGTAGAACATACGGGGTGTGGCTGATTATTTCCCAGCGTTTCACCTTTACAAGTGCAAATTACCTGAAAACGTAGAACCATCATTTGTAGTGTCTTTTTTAAGTAAAACCATCATGGGTGGTGTATGCTGTGGATGAATGTCAGACATCTGAATCTCTGCTTTCTTAGGCCTACGCGCCTGGCCTGTGGCCTGGCCTGAGGCCTCAGACTGTTCACGTGCCATCGGGACCTTTTCTGAAGTGTAGCAGACATTTCTGGCATTCCTTCCTCTGTAGTGCAAACTCCCAAAGTAGGGCCGCCCAAAAACTCCTATGTAAAAAGACCAGCTTTGGATAACTGTAGTATGAGAGCAGAAGTGAGTTAAACTGAAGTATTTTTTTTTCCCTTCAGGGGAGAGCATTTTTGCTCTGTAAGGAGCGGGCGGGGAGAGAGATCAAACTTTTTCCTTTGTGCGTGTAGTAGATAAATCCAGAGTCTCTCTCCTTTTACTTTGTAGGTAGTGGCCATGGAAGCAGCAGTTTGCCTCCTCATACCATCATCAATGAATTTCCAGAGTATGGCACTGTAGAGTCGAGCAGACAAGCTCCATCAGCTCTATCGACGTGCCAGGCCGAGCCTGTAACACACAGTCCAGAAAGATGGGACAGTCACCACCATGTCAGGCCTATTCCTCAGTGCGCAGCTCCTGCTCATAATTTGAGGCCTGATGCAGGGGCAGTGCAGCTTCACACCCCCGAAGAAGGTTTGCAACCCGCGGGTAATCTGCCAGAGATTATGAAAATCTCTCGACAGCTAGAAGCAACAAAGGTGCAAGAAAGAGCAAATACTTCTCTCGATTCAGAGACGCAAATGGAAAAAAAGAGTGTTACTGGCAGCCAAAATGTGCAGGCAGCCAGAGAACCAGTTCCAACAGGCCAAGAAAAACTCTCAGACATGCTTCTTCCATCTGAAAGAACAGCTGAGGAAAAAAAGTATTTGATCGTAGAGAAAGATCTGGCTTCAGTACAGGCTGGAGAAAAGCAGTCAGAATCCTCACAAGCCGTAAGTAATAAAGCAGAGGAGGTCCACGCAGCTCAGGAACCAAGCTGTCACAAGTCATCTGTGACAAACCTGGAAGCAGTCAGCAGAGTGGAGAGGGGGACACGTTTTGAGGAGTTTTCAGAGCACAATCAAGGCAAAATGCAAACAGGTACTGAGGGAAGGCTTGCTAAAGAGGCAGCTGTGAGTAAACATGTAGAATTTCAAGGTGTGGAGATCTTACGGCTGCAAAAAGCTGAGGAGCAGAGAAGAAGGAAGCACTCACTGCTGGACTCTGTGTCTGTGGAGAGGAAGGCATTCGCCAAAACATCCAGCCACTCTGTGTCACCAATGGTCTCCCCAGCCTTGCTTTCCTTGCCAGACAGTGCGTGGAATGAGGTCTGTGAAGACCCAAGGCTGGAACCTGCTGCTTCTGGAGCCACTCCTCTACCACTGCTCGAAGAAAGCAGGATGGATGAAGTTTCTGTGAAGGACAGGAAGAACTGTGGTGAGGAGGAGATGACTGTGATTGCAAGAGGCCAGGGCAGGTGAGCTGGTGCTAAGACGGGAGCAGGAGTCAGGCAGGGGTTCTCTTGTCTAGGCGTATGGCTTGTGCCTACCTGTTTAGGAGCTAATAAGAAGCAGCAAATATTTGTCTGCTGCCTGTGGTGTGGTGTTTACAGTACTGGTTTACACAGCTGGTGGTTGGCTAGTGCCTGAAGTTGGTACTGAAGCCACTTCACACCATCTTACTGAAGTTTACAGTCCATCTCAGATTTTGAAATGTAGAGATCTTGCTGTTTGCACAGTGATGTCGGTGTGATGAAGCATCTATAGCAGGTGTAATTGGGATCTGGACATGCCATGTAATTAAATACAGTTGGCATGCAAGCCTGGCCATACGCAGCTGAACAGATTTTCTGGTTTCATTCAGAGTTTGTGCAAAAATAGTGTGACAACCTCTGAATGGTTGGATAATGAAGACATTTTATCCAGGGCCATGTAGATCATAGGAGGATAAATGTTACAATATGTGCTTTCTATATTATCTATCTATCTATCTATCTATCTATCTATCTATCTATCTGTTTATATCATTTTAGCAGTACATATTGCAAGAATGGCATGCTGCTTTGCATCCTGATTTGCTTGTTTTTCTTTCCTGATGGACATCTCTGACAAAACAAAGGGTTCCACGGGAGCGCTCTGAGCAAACCATGCCCACTTTGAGCTGAAGAGTTGTGTGCTGCTGAGACAGCATCTCTACAAGGGAGGCTTTCCTGCCTCTGCACCTCTGTATCTGTGGAGTTTTGCTTTGGCTAGTGCCTGGAATTACTTGGGTTGGCTACCCTAACCTCTGGCATGTTGAGGAGCCCCACAGTATTGTGTGCAGCAGAGAAGAAAACTCGTCAGGGGGATGGCATACCTCTCCTTGCATCAGCAAGCAGGCTGAGTCTTCTCAGTCTGGCTCCCCAGGCTCCAATTTAAAAATTGCACATGCTTCCCTTTGCATTTGGGAGCGATTTCCTTCAGTTTTTTGCTGAAGTCTCCAGTCCTAGGACTGCAGAGATAGCAAATTATCCTTCGGGGGCAGAGCCTCCATCTGTATACACATCTCCAAGATGTGCAGCCTCTGGCTCGGCAGTGGTGCTAAGACAGATCTCACACATTGTGTGTGCTTTTCTCTTTTGCTTGTAAGCAGCTGATCTGTTAGACAATATTAGGATATTGTCTCCCAGCCATCTTCTTTTACCCAGAAAATTGTTTCTTTCTATGTCCCTGGAGAGGGAGATGATGCCAGTCATAAAGAGACATAGTGCAAGGAGGAACCAGCATTTTACCTGTGGTGTCCTCTCTTGCATAAAGCTGCATTGACCTTTCTGCTCAAAAAGGAGGAAGGTGGGAAGGGTTGCCCAAAGTCTAAACCTTGCCCCCAAACTGAAATGAAGTGTTTCTGGTTAATTTTCAGGATGATGGAGGAGGGGGAAGCTGCCACAGGAGGATATGAAGATTTTCTTGGGCAGAGGCACTCTGACGTCTCCACTGATCTGTACAGCTCACAGTTTGAAAACATCCTAGACAATGCATCTTTGTACTACAGTGCGGAATCTCTGGAGACATTGTACTCGGAGCCCGATAGCTACTTCAGCTTTGAAATGCCACTCACTCCCATGATCCAGCAGCGCATGAAGGAGGGTGGACAGTTTTTAGATAGGACATCAGCCGTGGGGCAGACAGATGTCCCTGACAGGGAGGTGAAGGGATGTGGTGAAGGCATTGCCAATGGCTTAAGGGATGTAAGCGAAACACTCTTCAGAGGAGACATCACAGAAGTCCCTCGTCTGGAAAGGTAAAAGTAGTGGGTGAGCTTTCTGTGTGCCTGCTGATTTTTCCCAACCTCTCTTTACTTCAGTGTACTGTCACAGAGTGTAGTTTTGCCTCTTTTAACACTTCTAATTTTCTACACAGAATAATTTCCAGGGTGACTGCAGGAGAGAAATGATCCATCCAAACCTGCCGTTCATAAGAAGAGTGACAATTTACATTATGAAGGTTTATTAGGCAATGCTGATGTGTTGATAAAAGGTATTATCACATCTCTGGGACCTGTCTCTGGAGGAGTTAGTTATTGGAACCTTGTTCAGCTACAGTTCCTACCTGAATTTATTTGCAGCAACTTTAGGAGCAGTAACACTTTGTGTACACAAATGAGTTCCAAATTCAGTTTGTGATCTGGATGTTAAAGATGTGTCTTTGGGCACAGTGTTTCCTCTCTTGAGGCCAGTGGGAGTTTAGAACATTACTTCTGCTAGGATGAGATTTTGCTCCCACCACATTCATAGGTTGGCTGCTTCTTTTGTTTGTGCACTTACTGGAAGACAAGCGAGCATTGCAAAATTGTTAATAATTTCTGTTTTGGTAAAAGGAGAAGTTATTAAAAGAAAGAGTCATGTAAGAAGCCAAAACTAGGCTGAGTGGTCAAAAAATACTGCACAATTGTAGAATATCACTCTATGTGCAAACTTTTCTTATAGTGTGCTGTCAAAGAGAGTGGGGACACTGAAAGGCAGACACAGACAAAATGGGAGGTTGAATTAAAAGCAGAGTGGTGAGGGTGCAACACGCAGATTGGTGAAGGACCTTGTGAGTGAGAAAGATGCCTCTGGTCTTCATCTTCCAGGGACAGGATGTTATCTAACAGTCCTAGGACTATTCCCTTAGATGGGACTGGTCTAGTTAGGGCTTTCCTGGGAGTAAAGGTGGGAGATCTTTTATGTGTTTTATTTCTTTTGTGCTGAAATGAAAGAAGTCCTTTGAGCAGAAGTAGTTTTGCTAACTATGGATTAAGGTACATTTTGCTCTTAAAATAGCAGGCAGAAGGACATTAGAGTTTAAAATATTTTTTCCTCAATCATACCGTTAAACAGGTGTTTAAATCTTGTGCATGCGTGGTGTGTGCCAATAGGCAATAAGTGACTGCTAATCTGCAATAACCTGTATGGAGTCAGAAACTGAGGTCAGTCCTGAGACTTGAAGCTCCTTACTTACAGCAAAACCAAAGGCTGACATAAAACTGGACAGAGGACAACAAGCAGCACATTCAGATCCTGATTCTGTTACCCTGTAGTTGCAGCATCTAGTATTTAAAAGATACTGTCAAGCAAGGCCTACATTGGTTCATCAGAACAAAAATTATGACAAAGACAAGGTGTGCTTAGATGAGACACATCAGGTGCCTGCCTAGTGTGGATTTCACTTTGAATTAATTTTAGTTTAGATTTGCAGCCATACTGATAAACTAGCAGTAGATGTTTAAATACTTTTTTCCTCACTTAATTGGAAAAAAAGTGTTCCTGGTTTGTTTAGGGATAAGTCTTAAGGGCTCACCTATGGTAGGTGCCAGTAGAGAATGTCACTACGGCAGGATAGCTAGCCATGAGTATGCCCAACAGAGTAATCCTCCCAACAATAATCTTACAGCTAACACCACCCTTCCACCTCCGGTATTCCAATATCATGTTGTTTTGCACCAGGCGTGTATGTTGTGTGGTGACTTGACAGGTCGTGAGTACTACTTTGTTGGAGCCAGTGGGGAATCACAAGTGTTAAGAGCGCATGGGTGAGAAGCAGTGTGTGCGTGCTGGGGGCGGCGGGAGGTTTATGGCACAGGGGTCAAGGTGGTCTGTCATGATGATGCTCAGGTGAACTAGAAATAGCCTCCTGAGCCCTGGCGTCTCAGGGAGTTTGAACGCGCGGTTGTGTTGTCTGAAGCAATCCGAGACTTAGGTTTACCTGAGTCTGCCTGTGCGCTGCGTGTATGCACCTCTGTGCCTGCTGCTGAAGCTCTCGTTTCCTACGGTGCCGTGAGCCCGCGGTTGTGCTTGGGGCTGCAATTCCTCACGCGTAGCGCCTGTTGGAGCACCCTCCGCAGTGGTCCAGCCCTCCCGGAGGAGGAGGCTGGGGGGAGGTAAGCCCTCCGCCCCGCCCTGCCCGGTGCCGCCGGAGCGCTCCGTGCGCTTCGCCCGGCCGGGCCTCACCCCTCCCACCGCCCCCCACTGGAGGAGAGCGGCGGGAGAAGTCCCGCCCAGATGGGTGGGGGTTGCTGTAGGGGCTCGGCATGTGGATACTGGCAAGTGCAAAGGGAAGCGGGGGGATTTCGGTGCGGGGGATATGGGAGCAGAGCAGGGTAGTGTGGCAGTGCGGGACAGCAAGGAGCATGAGACCCGTCCCCTTTTTGGGAAACGGTACTGCCAACCCGAGGGAGCAAAAACCGAAACCAAAATCTCAGCTGTGCCTTGTGCCATAGTATTTCGGTGATACAAAAAGTGAGTGGGGAGGGAGCATGCTTCCAAGTACCATTACTAGTTAATGGGGGTGCCGTGTGAAACACAAGCAGTTCTTCCTGGCTCAGAGCAGAAGGGGATGGTCGACTTGAGTGCAAAGAGCTAGTGTTTTTTTACCTCGAGATTGAAAGCCGTGTGCCAGTTGGGAAAAGAGGAGCTGGGGTTCCCGTGGCCATGCCTTCCTGTTAACAGGTAGCTGAGCACCATAGCACCTTCTGCACCTGTCCAGAGAGATCCAGAGCGTACCTCACACAGGGAGTGAGGTTTTGATGCATAAGGACAAGTAATGGCCTGGCCACGTAATGAATAAGCGGGAGGGTAACATCCTTCTTCACTCTTAGGAAATTGCTGGCTTTGGGAGGGGTCAGCTTTGGTATGTGAGGGCCGGTCACATGCCTTCAGAACTGGAAAAAAAAAAAAGAAAAGAGGAAAAAAATTATTAGAGGCTTGCAGGCTGCAAGATCCTATGAGATCCTAGGTGTCTGAAGATTTCAGCCGTGCTGTCCTCCCTTTCAGCTGCTGGCTGTGGTTAAACACAGTAAGTCTTGGCAAGAGCTGTATGATGGACCTGCCTGCTTTGACAGCCACCTGCCATGCTTCCTTAGGGTAGGGGGATGTAAGCTGCCCTTGAGTCTTCCTGCAGAGCAGGCAGGCTTACTTTTGCAAGTAGCCCTTTCCTGGCATAGCTTAGGTACTCTTTGTGCCTGGCCAGTGGAGGAGGGATGGTTGGGGGAGAAGGGTCTGCAGCTTGCCTTCTTTTGGGACTCTTCATGTCTTGGGGTGGAGTTTATTCTCTTTCAGTTCTTTGAGATAAGCTCAGTTGGTTAGAGCATGGTGCTAATAATGCCAAAGCTGTGGGTTTGATCTCTGTGGGCCGTTCGCTTAGCAGTTGGCATCGATGATCCTTTTGTCCCTTCCAACTCAGAATGTTCTGTCATTCTGTAGTGATTAACCCTCTGAGGGAAAAAAAATATTCTGCAGCTGAAGTATCCTTGAATTTCCTACAGGAGGGGGTCGGAGAACAGGGGGAGGAGGGGTAGTGTGCGAGGTTTCAGAGCTGAGCGACAGTCTTGCTATGTGTCAGGGCACCATGGGATACTCATGAAATAGGCTGAGCCTGAGGTTGTCAGTGTAATGAAGCTTTGTAATCTCAATAAGGAGGTTGCATTTGGACCGCGTTTGATGCCCTTGTGTCTCTGTTATCCTTGCAGAGGCATGCAGTCCCCACTGCCACACCCATGCTCCAGGTGCTGTACTCCTCCCTTCCCGTGCCAGTTGGGCTGTGTTAAGGCGAGCAAGGCTCAGCCTTCCTATCTGGGAGTTTAGTCTTACTTTTAGAGGCAATAAAAACTGTTTGCAAGCTGCTGCCGAGACACTGAGCTTGAGTTAGTGTTGCCTGGACTAGGTGTAATCATTTGCAAATTGATTGAAGTTGGTGATCCAAGTCAGAGTGGGGTGAAATGGATGTGTTTCCAAAGCAGTAAGATATATCTGAGGGGAAAAGGAGTTATCTTTTCTAGGTATACCACAGACAAAGCATCTGTGTCACTAAATGTAAAGTGTGAAATTTTCTCCATGATGATCTCTGTACTTCCAGACTTTAAGGACTGGACTTCTTTTAGTGTTTTCTTATACTGCACACTTTACAGCAGGTTTTCCATTCCCTCTCCCCTTGTAGGCTAGAGTCAGAATAAATTTTTAAAAACCCACAGAACAACAACGAAAAACTTATGGCATTTCTTTTCCTGCCATAAATGCCTTTTCCTTTGGTTTGAGAAGTATTGTCTCTGTTGGCAGGACATTGCCCAAGATTTTTGTAAACCTGGAGAGAAAATAAAAAATCTGTATTACAACTCCTAATCCTCAAAAATGCTAAATATTTGCCACCTGCCATCATCTTCAAGGAACTGCTGGTGCTCAGCAAATTCTGCAAGTCCTTTTATTTTTTTTTCCCCTAGAGATGCAAACACAAATTGAGTTGCATATGTATTCAAGAGGGGAAGAAAACAAACTCCCTAAAGCAATCTGGCAATTCTCAAAATAAATTCACAAGAATGTAGCCTGAAATTCCCATGGGTACCAGGTTACTTCTAATTGTTGGGACCTCTTGAAAGCATTAGGATTTGTAGTGGTTCCCATGGTGGATATTTTTCTTCTGTGTATAGGTCATTTCCAGCAGTTTCTTACTTGGCACTCTGCTTATTCCTTCTTTAAGACAATAAACTTTGTTGACAAATAAATTCAGTTTTGATTCCTCTCTCCAGGTTGATTCTCTGAGTCTCGTCCCAGTTTATGAATACCCGCATGCCAGTTATAATTTTGGTTTTCAGTTTGTACACTGGTAGTCTTGTCCAAAGTAGCTTGTATCTGATTTTTCCATGTAGTTACAAGACTCACTACTTAAGAATCTAACATGTAACCTTTATATGCTCATTTTTTTTCACTTTGAAGATTCACTTTGAGACCCAGTTGAACTTTTTCATTTAGGATGAAATCTGCTGAGATC